GGGAAAGGTGACCTAAATGAACAAATTGTTGTTAATTGCTATTGTTGACTTAATTGTTGTTACTAATAATTATAGAAATAATGATAATAGTCTATACAAGGAACAATACTCACATTGAACAAACATTAAATCTGTGTAAATAACAAAATTGAGTTGTACAAGTTGGAGGACACTCTATAAAAATAATAAACTAATAAAAACAATCATTCAATGATATTTTACCTCCACATTCATTTTCACAATCATATTGATAGTGGAAGTTATTTTTATTTTGATTACATCCTCCATACGTAAATGTTTCACATTGCTTGCTTGTTTTATTGTAAAAGTATCTCTGGAATTTACCATTACAAGGCCCAGCATAAGGAGGAAGGTGACAATCTACAATATAAAACAATGAAGTGGTGAGTCTATAAATCATATATAATAATAACCTGGTAAGCATCTAATGTTAGTGGAAGTCTCAGTGCAATTAATGCATGATACTTGTCCTCTTGATTCCTGATAAGTTCCTTTATCACATGACTGGCATGGTTCAAAACTAGTTGATGAGTATTGGTCTTCCTTACATTGATCTTTTAGTAGTTATACAAAATAAAATATAAATTAATGGTAAAAATCATTACCTTTAATGCAAGTTGATATATTTGATTCTTTGGTACACGGTAGGCAGAATTTACTACCATACAGTGTCTGATAGTGTGAAACAGGACATTTCTGACATGGTTCATATCCAGTATCAGAGTATGTTCCAGGAGCACACAATGCTAGGTATAAAGAATTTAAATAAAATATTGATAATATTTAATACCTTGGCAATCCTCTATGGAAGTTGATCCTTTTCCAACTGTAGAATAATGTTGAGGGCAAGAGTTACATTCATGAGCAGCTTTATCTGATTGAAATGCTCCTTTAGGACACAATTCACATACTGGATAATTATATTTCAATAATACTCCTGGACTTTGATGGACACTCTCTTGAGCATAATTTTTGTACTGGTAACTCCCTTTATTGCAACCAACTAAAACAGAAATAATATCAGTACATCCATACTTAATGTAATAATGTATATGTACGCATTAATTTAGTGTTTATGTTATGTGGTTGATTTAAAAATACATCACACTTACCACAGACAAATTGTGATACATCAAACTGATAACCAGAAGGACAATCGAACATCAGAGGGCTAATCAGACTGGTTTCAATAGAATATAAGGAAACTGGAACAAGTACAGTGTATAAAATGCCTATAATAGGTCTAGATCTAGTTTCAATTTTTAGAGTAAAAGGATTGCTTGTATTATGAAAAACTGAATCAAGAGTAATCTTGTTAGCCTGAAGCTGCCTTAGGTCTATAATTGTCTGATTAAGCCGAACCTCGTTAGAATCAGATTCACTTAGAATGGAGTAGTTTGAAGAAAGAAGCACAAATGATATTATGAGTTGGTTGTTTGCAAGGATAGCTGACGTAATTTTTACTGGTGTAAGATTAACATCAATTAAATCATCAACTGCATTGATTAATGAATTCTCAAGTGATTGAATGAGAGATGAGTTATCAACATTATTGATAGTAATAGTGAAGTTGTAACTCATTCTTGTAAATGTTCCAGGCAGTACAGTGAGTGTTACTGGTCTAGAATATATAGTGCTGTTGGCATTCTCTGCTTGGCAACGATATTGACCCTCATTTGAATTAGATATATTACTGATGCTTAAGAGTCCTTCAGTTTCACCATCAAGATCATTCCATTTAGAATAATTGTCTCTTCGATACGACCACTGGTAATTAGGTAGAGGATAAGCATTGGCCTGACAGATGAAATAAGCATCATTTCTATCATTATTGATCACTGTTATTGAATCTGGCTCTTGAGTGAATGTGGCTTTCTTGTACACACGCAGTACAGTTGGTTTTGATTTGGTGACACCAATAGCATTCTTTACTTCACACTCATACAGGCCAGCATCAGCTCTTGTTAAGTAAGGAATGGAAAGGGAAGATGTTGTAGCAAAAGGAATTGGTTTACGATTCTTGTACCACGAGTATGTAACAGGTAGCAGTGATGAACTAGGACAAGAAAAGGAAAGTGAAGCTCCTACAAATTCATCAATATCTGTTGGTGGTTGATCTAATAGGACAGGAGAAGAAGCACACCAGTAACTATCCTCTTCAACCTCAAGAGCTAATGAATAAACCTTATTAATGGTATACTGCATGTCATCTAGTGTCCAGTTGGCATTATTAGTGAGATCTTGCACTGATAGCCAAACATTTTCAAGCTTAAGAGTCATTTCAGAAGTATTAAAGATTGCTAATGGAGCTATTAGTTTACGAATATTAATAACTGAAGTAGAGAGACAATCAAGGAGGCTGTAACATGTCTGTCCAAATAAGTTACTAGTTTCATTGTGAAGTTCATCTAGATTCGCTTTCCATTGTGATACTTTGGTGTCAGCAATTTCGGAAGAAACTAAATCAAATGCGTCCATTTGTGAGGCATAGATCATTCCTTCATTCACTAGTAGTGAGAGACTTAGATTTGTTCCAATTGATCTCAATGCTTCAACTGTTGCTTCATAATTTGAATTTTCATTTTCTCTCGTGCTATTAACAGCAGATACAGAATCAAATATATCCTCTTGAACTGCAGACAGTGATAAATTGAGTTGTTCTATATAGTGAATTACGGATTTCTGAAGGTTACAATTATCTTTAAATATATCAGTCAATAATACTGAGCTAGCAACATTTCTTCTCTTTCTTAGTGGCTCTCCTATCACATTATCAATGATGTCATCATATATATTATCATAAATTGTTTTTTTAACGAGATCATCTGTAGCTGATATATCAACTACTATTCTTACTTTATGAGTTGTCCTACGACTTGTTATTTCATAAATCACATTAAGAGGAACGATTACTGGAGTCTGTGTTTCTACCGCTACATCAAATGATACGTCAGTTATTCTTATTATAGAATTAGTGCTACCCTGCAATGCATTACGAAAAGATAAGATCCTTTCATTACTGAGCTTGATTGACTGATAGCTTTTATTGGCAACTCTTTCACTTTCCAGAGATGAATTAATTTTGAAACGAGTTGCTTCAATTTCTTCTTTTTTTGAGATATTCCTTAATTTTAAAACCGCTATTTCTGAGCTCAGAAAAACCAAATCACTTAGAGTTTGGCTATACTCTTCGTATCTCATGTCAATATTTTCAAGTAGCAGTATAGTTTCATTATTAAATTTTTTGATAATTTGTGTACGATTTTTGTAACAATCTATATTTGTTGCATTGCATACAGGATCAACTTTATATACAGCACAGGGTTCAGTGTGATTACAATTTTTTTCATCGTATTTATCTTCAACTGATAGTATATCGCATACTTGATCTTTTACTGTAAGTGCAGTGTGTGGCATTGTAACCCATTTTGTGTCAGAAACTGTTATTGGCTGGCATGGTACTTCCTTTTTGGGGAAAAGTTTACTTACAGTATCAAAAACAATTGGAGCAAAAATTAGCGTAGGAAGTGACACAATTGTACTTACAACTACTGCAGTAGTGCTTAAAGGTGCTTTACCATAACGACATATTGTGTTTTTGACAGTGGTCATTTCGTGGACCTCACCTGAAGCTTCTTCATAAATGCTGCAAGGTACCTTTATTATTATCTTAACTGGTTTATAACAAGTTGTAACAACGATTCCACTCATACAGGTTCCTTCACATTCTTTGATTCTACAAACACTTTCTATTGATTCTGACAATTCATCTGTAGCATTCCAGTATGCTTCCAAAAGCCTGTAGAGAATAGATTCATGCTGTTTGTTGACTTTCTCAAGTTCTCTTCTTCTAATCTCTTTAGCATCAAGAGATGCCTGAATGTCACTTAGTTCATTGTATAGTTGTTGGAGTTTTCTTTGAAAGTTTTTAACTTGTATACTAGCTGATTTAAGTGCATCATTAGCTCCGTTAACATGTTGTACAGCATCCTCCATTTCTCTTGTTAGTTCAGCATTTAGATAATTTGTTAAACCATTTGTAACATCACTTGTGAATGTGACTTTAAGATTAAATCGTAATGATTCCCAAGGTCTGTCAGTACTACCTATTCCCATTACATCAGTCTGACCAAGATAAAACAAGTTTAAAGAAGAATAAAACTGGATTTCTTCTTCCTGTATTTGCACATATGTTGTTATTTCAGTGTCAAATAAAGAAATGTTAACAGATGGTAACATACAAATGATGTCATCATCATCAGAAAATAGCACTGATTGAATTTCAGAATCAGGTAGCATTGAAATAAAATTTCCAATAGTGACTTTACTTTTAATCTTTGATTCCAACAGTACAGTTGTCACTCTGTCTTCCAAAATGTGTAAATTATCTCCATTTAAAGTAATTTTAAGAGGAAAGTTAATAAATTTTAGTTCTTTAATTTGAAACACTAAGCAACTACTAAGTAGCGATACACTATTGATATGATCAAAGTTATCAAACTGAAAATGTGATTTCACAAGACATGGCTCTGTTGATTGTATCTGAATGTATTTACTGAAGGTACCATTACTTTGTAGTGGTGATAAGTAAAGATTAAATTCAAGTCCAGGACTTGGGCAACACCACAACCAGTACCTGTAAAAATAATAGAAATTAGTTTGTTAGCAATGACTTTACTTTAGAATCAATAAATTAAAATGAAACTTTAATATTATGCTTTATAAAGCTAGTATAAATTTATAGGCAGCTATAATAGCTACATTATTATTCTATTTATTATTGATTTTATGGCTACCCTTGTTAGAACAGACTATAGTAAAACTCTTAAAAAAGTGATGCTCACCTTTTTGTACATACAAGCCCTTTTCATTACTTGCTGTCAACTGCAATACAGAATGCTGCTGGCTTCTGATTAAACCAGTCCTTATTTCAACATTCATTTCTCCTTCAACTCTATTTGACACCTATATAGCAAGCTAAAATGCAATTATTGCAAATGGTCATGAACTTACAGTTTCACAGCTGGAAGGCAATTCTGTTCCTTCGGCAACACTTCCATTGAAATTAAAAAAAATTCCCAAATAATGCTCTTGAAAATCTCCAGAAATGATCATTTCAGCTTTTAACTTATAATTTGGCTGTCTAATAGTAGTAGAAACATTTCCATCCCAGTATATGACATCAGTTTGCTCAGTTGACAGTCCATAACGTGATGTCTCAATTGACTTTATACTAAATTCCCAATTATTTTGTCTTAATCCCGTAAAAACAGCAAGATTTTGAATTTGTTCATCTAATTGAGGAGGAACAGATACATAAAGGTTACTATTACCACTACAGAGTGGATACACAAAACAAACTGTTTCAGAAGATGAAGCATATGACAGTCTATCATTATTGTAGACAAAATGAAGTCCAGAGCTAGTAGTAATAACATAGTAGAGATCAGTATCAGTTGTATCAATAGGTATATTAGGACACTCCAATAAACTAGAAAGTTCATATTCTGGTACTATTTTTGCCAGGTAGTCACCAATAGAATAGTTAGTATGTGTAAATTCACCATTACCTTCAATAGTAAGGTGCTGTGGTAGAATGGGTCTCATTGCTGATAGAAAAGTGTTGATCATTGATAAACGTTTAACCATGTCACGTACATCTTCCATTCTTTGAGGAGAAGATGAAGTACAATCAGGTGCTCTAGCACAAGGTGAACATGACAGACCGGGGCGAGTGAAATCTGTAGTAAGTCCTTCATCTGATAGCTGCATATTTATTCCAATTATAGAAACAGGTAGAGACTGTCTACCAACAGAAACAAATATGATGCCTTCTGATACATATTCATTATTTTGGCCTGTCCATGCACATGTTGATCTGAATGAAATTGACTGTCTTGGGCTTTCAGTACAAAATCTCGTAATAAGATCAAAATCATGATGACAGCATCCTTCATTCAGTATATTACTACTATCACCTGTAAAATAACTACCAGCTACATTTTCATTTGAAGCAATTGTTACTCTATCATCAATGGTAGTGGCTTTTTGTTCCCCTTCATTAATTGCAACGAACTTAAGCCTAATAAAGTTACTTTCAGGTGATTCAAGATAGAAATTAGGGTTACTGTCAGAATACAAAATTGTTATAGGACCTCTTGGAGTAACAGCAACAGTAGAAGGTTCAGTATTGATAGTAACAGTGACAGAAGATTGTGGAGATGCAAAGATAGTAATGGGACGTGAACGCTCCTTGATATTTAATAATGGTATATCAGCTATGGTTACACTGAGTGTACTACAGTCATCTTCTATATATCCATCAGGACATATACAATATGGTTCATTGCTATCTGTTGTAAGGCAAGTGCCAGTAATGCATGGATTAGAAGCACAGGCAGATGATCCTAAACATGCATGAGTATTATTTTAACTATATTATAAATTGTTTACTTTTGCATTCTTCTGGTGCTGTCCAATGAGCTATTTCATCTGAAATAGTGCATGCTTGACTATAAAGAATGCCACCAGAATCAATAAAATATCCAGGAACACAGCTAAAAAGGCAGGTTGAATTAACACTAGTCTGACAAGACTGAAGTTGGACACTATTGGGTGGTGCTTGTATCTCAGGACATTGTTTTATTTGGCAATCAGTACCAGTTCCATTCCAAGTGGTATCAGTGCCACATAATCTAACAGATGAACCAAACAAATCATATTCATCTTTACATGTAAATGAACATGTACTATTAACAACCACTGGATAATCTGAACACTGCATGTATCCATTAACAGGAGCAATGAGAGTAGGGCAAGATAATGCTACAAAAAATAAAAATTAAATTAAGATAAATCATTAAGAACTAACCTTCACAGTTAAAGCCATTACTAGACAATCCATAGCCAGCCTCTCTGTCACAGGAACAATAATGCCTCCCAATTGTGTTATGACATGCTTGCTCACAGCCTCCATTATTAGTTAAACATTCATTTACATCTAAAATAAAATAGATCAAACATAAATTATTTATGCACATTAATTTTCACTACATTATACCTTTACAAGTATGATTGTTGTGATGGAGGGAGTAGCCAAGATGACAAGAACAAGAATATTTCCCATTTTCACAATGTAAGTTTGTACAATTGTGATCACAAACATTTAAGCTTGTATCGTTACATTCATCAATATCTTAATGAAAAAAGCTATTATATTAGGCATAATAACACTAACTATACCTTCACAAGATACTCCATCACTTGCTAGTTCACATCCTAATTTACACCCACACTTATATGAACCTAAAGTATTTTCACATCTTTGAGCACAATTATCTGTCCCTCGTTCACATTCATTAATATCTATGTCACGCATATAATGAAGTCACATCATGCACACATATGCATACCATCACATTTTCTAAGGTTTATTATATTTTTGGTGTAACCCTCATAACATGAGCATCGATAGTATCCTATCTTATTAGTGCAATTTTGCTGACATCCATGGAGTCTCTCTTCACATTCATCAATATCTGCCAAGTAGATATAATAGATAATTTATGGCAAATCTAAATGTGATATCAAAACCACAATTACCACATTATATTTGGTGTGCACACTTTGCTTGAGTATTGTGGATCTAGCTATCTATAGAGCCTAAATCAATTATTTTGCAAGCTAATTTTTGGTATATTCTGGCCATTGGTTTTAACTTTTAAGTACAGTGCTATGATGATGAACATGCCTGAACACATGCAAGAATATAAAAATAAATTAATTTTCCATGCAAGCATGCTTCCACACTATATAGAATTACAAGCCAGCTGCTATATATTGGATATTATTAAGTAAAAGCGTAATGAAAAGCATACTCTTGCCACACAAGCAATAGATTAATTTTTGATGATTAGTAATGGGCGATTCCGAGTCTGGAGTAATTGATCTTCAATTTCAAATGGAATCGTACTCGTAATCTAAACCTTGTGTTTGGTATTTTTGTTTTTGTTTGAACTATAACCAGAACTATAAATGAACTAGAACTAAAATTAAGTACTAAAACTCCAAAGGACTAAGTACTGGAACTATATACTAGAACTGAAAACTATATTGTAGTGTAATGTATGTATGTATGTATTATTCTTATTACTGTATTATTGTAATGATTATTCTAATGTTTCTGTTATGTGGTTACTGTGAATAGCAATAAGGTTATATGTGTTATTATTTATGTACCATTATTATTACGTGTATTGTTTAGCCGGCTCTTTTGTTATATAGTTTTTGTAGCACGTGCTCCACACACACTCTCTTTTTCCATTCGATTGTTCTTTCTGTTCTCTCTTCCTCTCTATCCCTTGTTTCTCGAGTTTTACCAAATAAAGAGTTTTAAATATATCACATATATATATATATTATACATATTGAAACTATATATTAGAACTAATTATACCCTTATTGAATACTGAAACTACTAGAACTAAAATTATTTTACTAGAAGTACGTAACTAGAACTAAAATTAAAAGTAATTTCAATGGAACTAAACTGGAACTGTAATGACAAAGTCTACTGGAACAACATTAGCACCAGCATGGCTATACACATACATAGTTAGGCCAAAAGCTTAAAGTTTTCTAAGTTGTAAAAGCTCTTTCAACACATTTAGTAGGCGCTACTAGTTGCTTATGGACTTCTTTATACTTTAAGCCAGTTTCAGGATACTGGCTACCTTCTCTACTCAGATTCAAGAGGCTGTATTTGACATAGTACAAATTTTATAATGTCATATGAAAGTCATGGAAGCAAAGAAAAATCTTCAAGAGTAGGAAATAAAGCTTTGAGTGACTGAAGTGTATTGTGAAACCAGGAGCATCTTGATTAAGACAATTTTAGCTAACACAAAGTGACAAAACAACTCATATGCCCTTGCCTACATGCCTACGCATGGCAAAGGTAAAAATGTCTATTTTATATTCTGTTCTTTTCATGCATGCTATAAGAATACTAATTTACATTGCTAACTAACCAACACATCTTTTAGGATCCCATTCAGGTATTCTATATCCTCGTCCACAGTGACATATATAGGATCCCTTTATATTTTCACAGTTTCCAGCAAGTACACATTTATGACTACCATCAGCACATTCATCTCTATCTATTAGATAACATGATTAAATTTTTATGTAGTTGTGCATCATTATAAATTTTACCAATGCAGCTCCTTCCATCATACGCTAGTGTATATCCTTTAGGACAATCACATCTGTATGATCCATTTGTGTTATGACATACTGCTGGGGACTGGCAAATATTTGGGTTTTCAATGCATTCATTAATCTCTATAGACAATGACTGAATTAATTTCATCATTATTAGAACTGTTGCATACCTTCTTGACAGCCATCTCCCCTGTAACCAGAAGGACATAAGCATTTGTTTATTTTTAATCCTGCATCATAATAGCATTCCCCACCATTACTGCATTCAGGATCACATACTTCTACAATAATGCAAATATGTCTAATGTCACTGCATTTCTTTATGATACTACTTACGGTTGCAGTTAGGATATATACCAGTATGTTTGCCACAACATGCTGCTTTTTTAAGTGCAACAGTAATATACTGAATTAGACTTCTTTGGCTATATAAGGTCCTTTACCAAATAACTAAATAACATTATGCAACAAAGAATATTTACTTTGTGCATCTACATCTACTCCAACAATTCCAGCCACAACAACATCCATAACCTTGACTGTGTGAATCTCTGACATATTGTGTTCTTGATTGCCTTTCATATACAGTTTTGTAGCACCTATTATGCATTGTATAAGAATATCTTTAAGTTTATGGTTTTACTTACACAGATGATGCCGCTTGAGACAATGGAAGCAGAGTAAGAAATAAAACAGCAACTGCAACAACTGTAACAGTTGCTGCTTTGCAATTCATTTCCTAATTCAATCTTCTTATTTTCTTAGCCTGCAGGTCAAAAATTCTAAATTCTGTGAGTTACTGGTACTGTACATATGCCTTTTATTGTAAAATTAACAATGGGGAATCTACTCAAGTTTACTCTAAACCTTTTGTTTAGTTATCAATATAGTAATTGCATGAATAGACATGTTTTTATTAAATACAAGATGAATAGAAGAATGCCATTCTTAGAACACAATAGATCAGAAATTGATAAAAGGTGTTCTTGCCCACTCAATTACAATCATTTCATTATCTAAGAGATAATTTAAAGTAGCTTTCTCATAATATAAATTTACTGAATAAAAATTAACTAGATATTAAGCATGTAAATTAGCTATTACCCTTTGCACCAATCAACTAATGGAGTAAAGAGAAAGAAAAAGAAAGAGAAACGGCAAGGAAGGACATCAGAAAAAATAGGGCAGAGAGAGAACAGTGAAAGAAGTAGAGGGTAAAAGGAAAGTGTATTTCGTTTATACTTTGCTGGTGTATTCTAGTTCAATCTCATTCAGTACTTGTCCAATTATTTCATTTTTTTCATCTTCATCTCCTGACAGTATTGCATTCATCGTATCATCCACTATACATACAACAATGACAATAAGTAAGAACTATACAAAGCAATTAACCTATGTAAAATAACATTTACATGTACAGATAACATTATGGCTGCTTTATAGCTTCATTGCTTGATATTCTACCAAATTTTAATTAATAAGCACATTCACATGCACCATTTTACCACATGTAATTATAATCAGGTGTTTAAATTATAAGGTATGTACGTGTACAGAATGATGAATAAACATGTAGTGTAACTTGTACTAGCTCACTCATTTCTCCTGCCATTTCCATTTTAGTTGATTCTTTTTCAAAATGCTGCATTGTTCATTGAATGTCTTCAAGTTCTGCTTATTTGTTCATTGATGCTATTGCGTGTGTCCCATTTCCTTTGCCATAGAAACCTAGGACTGCATTGCCTACAGGAACGTACATTTACAATGTAATAAAGATTTTTATGCTTTTTATACAACATAACATAGGTTTGTAATGCCTTAATGTTCAAGCAAAATAATGTCTTTGCCTTCCTGATTGTTTATAAAGTGACTATATTGCATGGAAATAAAACAAAAAATTAAGGTTTTTTGAGCTTGACAAAGCACAACAAGGTCACACAGTAACTAAATAGAGAATGCCTCTTTTGAGCATGCAAAGTCATGGTATATGTGTACTGTGTACACATAAATACCAGGAATAAAACCATAAAATAAACTATAGGAGGATCTTATGATTGTACTATTATCATAATGGGAAGAAAATAGTACATCAAAAGAGAATGGGTATAGCTTTCACATGATCTATAGAAACAACCTTGAATGAAGGGGAATACATCAAAAGGACTTATCACTCACTCCAAGAATTACATAAGTTAGATTATAGTCAGGTAAAATGAGGCAATTTGATTGGTCAGATGAGGTAATCTAAGTAGCTTAGTTACCTCTTAATAACTTCTTAGATTACTTGTTAATAACCATTATTTATAATAATAAAATATCGAATATTTACAGTCAAATTTGTGCAGTTACTGAAAGCAATTTGTGGTTTATCGTCCATCGACATTAAAAATTTTGTTTGTTGAGTATTTTGAATGTTTGCTAAACTATCTGATATCTCAATCATTTGTTCAGCTGTGATATCCTCTTGTAGCTTCTCACTCCATCGATGCTATGGTGACCAGTGCGTTGCAGTTGCTTGTAAAGAATGATTAGTTTTGACTCCTTTTATTCCTCCAATTTCAAACATTGTTTTGTTGTTTTGTTCATTATAGATACCACACACCATATGGTATAGATGAGGAACATAAGTTCAGTGCTGTCTTCAGTTTTTCCTCACTTCCAGGACAAACATTTCCATAGATTTTGCTAGCTCTTCGCGACTGAGAGACATGATAAACGGAGTTTCATCAAGTTGTACTTGTAGCTTCCATCTACACCAAGTATTCCATTGGTTTCAGTATGCACCAATAATTGTTTCTACCCTCGTTTTTCGCCCGGCGGTTACCGATGCCAGCACTCCTTGCTGGTTTGCGATAGCGTATCTTTATCCTTGTGCTGTTTGCTGCAGAGCTCTAACAGGACAGGCTAGTATTGTAGAAGACATTGCCCAGTGATATCTTTGTCGGACCTCAGCTAGTTTTGATTTGAAACTGTCTTGTGCTGTCGCTACGGCGTCTCCCAAGGTAAAATCACTGACCAATAGCTTTTCAGAAGATGGAAAAGACTGGTTAGCAACAGCATTATCCTTGTTGGTAACGAGCCCACTGCCTCACATTACCCAGGGATATAATCATAGATATTAGAGACTACGTATATCTATGATATAATAGACTAACGTAACCGGGATTGGTTACGGACCGGAAATCAATTATCAGACTCTGTTATTATTAATGGCAGCAATCAATGGCATCTTAGCAAAATGGCTGAATGTAAATTGTTATAACTAAAAAACCAGCAACAGGAAAAATTTAAAAACAACTTTAAACAATGTAAAAACATGTAAAGGGTCTCTTTATTGTAGTTTCATAGCAATAGAATGTAGTCTATTCTCCTGAGAGGTACGCAAAAGTCGTACCATGGCAAACTGGTTTTTCTTGAATATTTCCTGAAAAACACTCTGGAGAAACAAGAGAAGTTGCCTAAACAATGTAATAAAGTAAGTAACAACATTTCATGACAAAAACACATTTATAGAAACAAATATTTGGGCTACAGAGGTACGCAAATGGAATTTTAGCCGTAAATTGAAGATTTAAACAATTTAAAACAAATATTAACTTACAATAACCTATCAGAACCTTGAAGCCGCCATTATAACTTTGCAGTAGATTTTTCATAAAGCTAAATACATTTTTAAAAGAGAAAAGAGCAACTTCATACTCCAGACATTCAAAGCGTCTAGAGACAGGAATGGATCCAATTAGTTATGTGGGTGGTTTTATATCTGTAATACGCATGCGCATTACTCCCTCATGGACAAAAATCACAAAATGGCTGCCACCAACTGAGTGTTTTTCATAGAACCTTGCACTAGGTAATTCAAGTTATTCTCAGACTGCTATAAGTTATGCCTTTTTATATACTGTGACTATTGTGATCACCTATATGTATATAGAATGTATCTTCTAATTATTCTTGTGTGAGGAAATGAGCTTTTTAGTCTTTCCTGGGTTATCATTTGTTCCTTCCACCACAATTACTCATTTCAGAACTGTAAGTAATATGTCTGTCAATTTAAGCCTCATTATG